TCATGCTCCCGACCATGTATTAATTGTCGACCTCGCATATACTCTTCACATTTGTGTGAGCTGAATAGCCAAATATTTGGTGCGTTGACCAGTGCAGTCGCGGCGCTCGGAAGCGACAGACGCCTGCTACGCAAAATCGGCGAGTGCTATTTCCTCGTCAATGTCCTTCCAAGGAACTCCTGCTGAGTACCTTGGAACTCATATGAATGACGAGGCTCGCTTGAGATAGCTTCAAGTGCAGGGTGGCCTTGTCAATCTCGAGTCGGGTCACCACCCCGCTTTCCCGGACTATCATCACGAGTTACATCATTCGCAAATGTCGCAGGTCGCGTCCCAGCACAACTCTGCGCGCTTGCCGACGGTGCGCATGGGGACATTGTCTAGGGGAGTCAAGGAATGCGAGCGAAAACGTGCTGGGCAATAGTAATAATGTGCTCGAGGGCTAACGTAGCTTAAAAGTGAGCAATTTCTTACAATCCGTACGTCTGATAAAAGTTGTGTAAAGTGGGCCCAATGGCAAGTGAAATTAAGGAAATTTCTTAAGTTCTCCATAGAACTTAAGGAACTTTCTTAAGTTCTCCATAGAACTTAAGGAACTTTCCCAGCCGCTGGCCAATGGAAAGACCCTCTAAGTATTTCTTAGCGAGTGCGATGGAAAAGTTACGGAAATCTCCCTTTCCATTGGCCGTCCGGCAACTTCTCGCATGGGGCACTTCGCGCTGCCAAAATTACATACACACATTCCTTTACATATAAATTATCAGTTGGTGCTAGAAATCCCCAAAAAGGAGGTGCGGCGGGCCCGGCCGGCCCTAAGGAGAATCTACGAAAATTTACGACCAGCCAATGGAAAGACCCTCTAAGGGAGTGCCATGCACTTTCCAGTCAACCATGAAGGGTCGAACTTAACCAGGCTATACATTCAAAAATGAGAAGTCCATTTGTTTTCGTTGGGAGCTTGTGTTACTTGGAGCATGAGAGCCTGGGGGTGTGGGAGCCTGAGGGCCTGGGAGCCTGGGGGGCCTGGGAGCCTGGGAGCTTGGGGGCCTGGGAGCTTGTTAGGCTGGGGGCCTGGGAGATTGGGGGCCTGGGAGCCTGGTACCTGGGAGCCTAGGAGCTTGGGGGCCTGGGAGCCTGGGGGCCTGGGAGCCCGGGGGCCTGGGAGCCTGGGGGCCTGGGAGCTTGCGAGCCTGGGGGCCTGGGAGTCTGGGGGCCTGGAAGCCCGGGAGTCTGGGGGCCTGGAAGCCCGGGGGCCTGGGGACCTGGGAGCCTGGGGGCCTGGGAGCCTGGGGGCCTGGAAGCCTGGGGGCCTGGGAGTCTGGGGGCCTGGGAGCCTGGGGGCCTGGGAGTCTGGGGGCCTGGGAGCCTGGGGACCTGGGAGCCTGGGGGCCTGGGAGCCTGGGGACCTGGAAGCCTGGGGGC